AAAAGCCAGACTGCTGGTGGTTATAAAAAATTCAAATGGCAATTTTCCTTTTATCTGACAATTCTTATTAAGAAGATATACATCAACCTGAAACACATCAACCTTAAATGTAAAGGACATGATTAAAAGTTCATATTGCAAGACTAGGACCCGAGTGGCTTTGCCCAAGAGCCACACAGTGGTCCTAGTACATCTTTTCTGTCTCCTAAGATGTCTGAAGTCCAAATTCTGCCCAACTCCCTCAAATCTCATCTAATCAGTCTCTGAATCCTGTTGGTATAATCCCCTAGAGATTTCTGGAACTCATCTTCCCATCCCATAGTTTAGGCCTCACTAGGTCTCACCTGGACTACAAATTATTATCTGCTCTGTCAAATTATTCAAAAAATATGTGTTTAGCAGCTACCAGAGGCCAGTCATTTGATTAGGATTAGTCACACTGCAATAGACAAAATGAACATGACCTCCATTCACCTATGGATGATAATGTTGGGAGTCAAGCATCATAAGAATCACCTTACAAACTGGCATCTTCACAATTTTCAGGAAGGAGTCAATGGAGTAAAATTAAGAAGACAATGATAAGAGTCTTTGAACTTGAGGGCCAAGAAAGATTTTCTAAGAAAGCATGAATAAAGCTGAGATATAAATGATGAGGCATCAGTGGTGAGTAGAGAAAACATTCTGGGCAGGAGAAACATCACTGTCAAACGTATGGATCAGCAAACATTTTCTCTACAGGTGCAGATAGTATACTTATTTCCCCAGGCCATAGAGTCTCTGTCTCAACTGCTAAGCTCTGTCACTATAAAGCAAAAGCAGCCACAAACAATATAGGAAGGAATGAGGGTGGTTGTGTTCCAATAAAACTTTATAGCCACTAAAAATTTAACTTCATATAATTTGCATGAGTCACAAAATATCCTTCTTTTGATTCTTTCTCAACCATTTGAAAATGTAAAACCATTCTCAGCACCAAGCCATCCAATAACTGTAGGATGAATGAGGGAGGGGTATAGTTTGCCATTTTCTAGTAAAGACTGTGAGGTAGCAAAGAGCTGATGGTGTTTGAGGAACTCTCAATGGATTGCTGTGGATGGATCAGAGTGAGCAAGGAGGTTAGGGACACCCAGTGTGGTGAGAGGGGAGGTTAAAATGATCTCACATACCATTATCTGGTCTAAGTTGCCAACTTTGGTATTTATCCTAAGAGTAGCGCAAAGCCATCAACCTGCTATCATCAGCAAAGTGAGAAAATTCAACTTATTATACATTTTCTCACCCCTATTCCAATTTCCATACCCCTGCCAAAGTTACTTAAGGCATTCTCTCCCATACCTAACCACCCCCCACCAAGCCGGAAGGGGTTGGATGGTTTTCAACCAATATCCATCACCAAATAAACCCTTAACAATATGGAACCCAGGCTACCTACCTGACCTTACCGACTACTACACCCACCAAAAGCCCCCAGCTCTTCCCTGGGACTGAATTCCCATACCATAAGTGGACATGGGCTCTCTCTGGACTATCCTTCCTGTCTTCCCTACTAGGAAAACCTCCACTCATATTTTGAGGCTCATGTCAAACTATTTGCAATGAGAAAGCAAATGATTTTCTCCCAAAGCACTTTACACATCCCTGTATCACCATGCTTAGTCTATCTTTTGGTGGGTGTTCCCCTCCCCTCCATTATTCATGCCCCTGCCACTGCACACAGTGGACTCTGGACCTCTAGGATAAGGCTGAGTCCTTTTTGTCCCCATGGCCCTATTGTCTAGCACATTTGCTAGTTCATAGAATGAATTCAGGATTTAGAAATTCTGATTAGGAAATTAAGACTTGAATAAAGAGTAAATAAATAACAGTTCAATTAACTTAGAATGCAGAATCTCATGTTCTGATCTTGAATTTGTACTTGAACTGCTCCACTATAGCTATCTAACTTTCCTGGCTCCCATCCCTGCATCAAAAAGAAGGTGCCCTTTCCTGATTCTTCACAAGTGGATGCTTTTCTCCTGGGTACAAGGGCAGAACCTTTAGAACTAGAAGTTGTTTTAAAAGTCCTCAGGCCAGCAACATCAGCATCACTTGGCAATTTGCTAGATATGAAAATTCTCAAATGCTCAGTCCCTGCCCTAGGGCCACTGAATCAGAATGTGCAGTTTAACAAGATCTCCAGGTGACTCATTTACACATTAAAGTTTGGGAAGCACATCCTATAAGCCATCCTGACAGGTTTTGAGAAGTTATTAAAACTGATTTTTAAAATATCTTTAATTATGAATGTGCAATCATGCTAACACCAAAGGGATTCTCTGCAGGAATTACTGTGCGTGCTTACCAAAAGCAAAAACAATTAAAAAAAATATATAATGGATTTGAGGCTTACCTTCAAGTAGGCGAATAAGTAGAAAGGCAATATTTGGAGCCTTTCTCAGAAAATTCTGAAAGGGAATTGATTTCTTAAAATAAATTAATTAATAGAAGACGCTCATAGGAGTTCACAAATACTGCCCCCTAATCTAGAATTAATTATTTTCTATGGGCTTTAGTGTAGATGGATCTCAAATGCAAAGCGGCAAGCATCCTGGTTCTTACAGATCCTGAAACATGGCTGGAGCTGCCAAGAACACAACAGGGGTTCAGTATGGCTCTGATATGAATCCATGACCATCTGCCCAATCCCCCCTCACTTAATTCAGTACAGCTCTTCTTCTTGTCTTGCCAAAAAGGGGGCAATGCATCCAACCCATTTCTCTTCTTGCAGTAAGTAAGTTTAGGTCACATCAAAGAAGACCACTGTCCTCATTCCTGGTCCTATCCCAAGTGTCATGCTTCACAGAGGGATTTCAGTAGTGCATGACATGATGGAATGAGCTAGGAATGGAGCCCTGGAGACATGGACTTAAATTCCGGATCTACCAGGTATCTGGGAAACCACATATCCTCAGTCTCAGTCTCATTTCCCCATGCTGCTTACTAGGCAAAGGTTCTTAGCATTAAACCAGCAGGGCCTACAAAACACATGGGACAGAGCAGTTCTGTATGCCAACTTATGTTTCCGCATATATTTGGATCAGATTTTTAAACTGATCTAATTCAACTTTCTCATTTTATAGATGGAAAAAGGGAGGCCTGGGCTAAGAAGTGCTTGCCCACGGCACACAATGCAGACAATAGAGTCAGAATTCGATTCCTGAAACCCTTGACCCCCAAGAAACCTTTTTCAAACTCTTAGCATGCTGTCATAGCCTTTCTGCAGATTAAAACTTATAATAGAGATAACAAGCCAAGCCTGCTTTGATGAATAAATCTCTTCTTCCTTCCCCCTCTTCTTCCCCAGTGACAACCCAGGGGCACCTTTGCAAGCACCCTTAAGTTCCCCCACCTCCACACACAATCTGAATAACTGATGAGTCAGCCTACCTGCAACCCCAGAGCCAGCGAATGAATCACCCCATGTCTTGCTCACTAGATGGATTCTCTGTTCACCAGACCACCTAGGGGTTTTCAAGTCCCCAAGGTTCCAAAGGACTTGAACTTTTGCACACATCCATCTCTAATGGGAACCATTAAGCTGACATCACCACTCTCCACACTTCATAAAGGAGTCCTCACATCTGGAAATGGGAACACCTGCAAGCACTTTGACCAGGATCACCAGATCACTCACGGATGTGGAAACCCAAGGGCAGATGAGGTGAGAAAGAGATATCCTCAAATGTCAACAAGGCCAAAGATGAATAATTTGGGGCTAAAAGTGTATTTAAAAAAAAGGGGGGAGGAGTCTGGCCAGAGTATCTGGACTTATATCCCAGCTCTGCCACTTTCTAATGGGAATAGTAATTAACCTCTCTGAACTTTGACAGAGTACTGGGTCTTTAAAAAATTGATTTTGGAGTCAGCCAATCTTAGGTTCAAATCTTAGCTCTGCCACATACTCATTGTGTCACTTTGGGTGAAGTGGTTTCTCTTATGAGCTTTAGTTTCCTTGTCTACAAAACAGAGCCCCTATCATAAATAAATAAATTAAACCTACTTCACTGGGTGGTTGTTAGGATTTGAAGAGGTAACATGCAAAATACCTATCACAGTGCCTGACATGAACTAAGCACACAGAAACAGACTGACTTAAAATTATATTTCATCTCAGACCAGTCAGAATGGCAGCCATATAATAAATACAAGTAATAATAAATGCTGGACAGGATGTGGGGGAAAGGGAACACTTTTACACTGTTGGTGAGATTGCAAATTAGTACAAACACTATGGAAATCAGTTTGGAGGTTCTTCAAAAGAATAGGAATGGAACCACCACACGACCCAGCCATACCACCCCTTGGTATTTATACTGAAGAATTAAGGTCATCATACTACATTGATACATGCATATCCATGTTTATAGCAGCACAAGTCACAACAGCCAAACTGGAACAAGCCTATGTATCCATCAATGGCTGAATGGATATGGAAAATGTGGTACATACACCCAAAAGAAAAAAAGAAATTATATCGTTTGCAGGGAAATGAACAGAACTAGAGACCATTATGTTAAGCGAAATAAGTCAAACTCTGAAGGTCAAGGATCATATGTTTTCTTGAATATGTGGAAGCTAGAGAAGAAAAAGGAAAATAAAGGAGGGGTGGTGTCTCATGAAAATCAAAGAGAGATCGGTAAAGTAATGGACCAAGGACTGGAAGGTGAAGAGTGAGGGAAAAGTGCTGGGGAGTGATATTGGCCGAATTATACTGTTATATTGTGTGTATGTAAAGATATGTAACAACAAATCCCACCAATATGTACCACTATAATACACCAATTAAAAATGAAAAAAAAAAAACCAGAGTGACTTAACTTTAACTTAATCAATACAAAAGGATCAACCTTCCTCAGAGGGTTGCTAAGAAAAATCCAACACTGAAGACTTTATAGCAAGGTGTCTGGTAATACAGACCCACGATGAGTGGAACTCTCCCCTCATCCCTATGCACTCACCTCTTTTAGCCAGAGAAGCTTTGGGGCCTGCATTTCCACAGACATCACGCCCCCAACATACTGGAGGACACTGTGCTTCGTCTCATTGATCCTGTGCACCTGACTGACTGCTCGGTGGTCCAGCCACATGATGACATTTCGATGGGAATCCCCTAACAGAAGTGAGAGACAGAGACAGAGACAAAGGCAGAGAGCAGTGAATATAGATGTGCATTGTTTTCCTTCCTTAAAGGGGCAATTATGGATTCTGGGGCAATATGCTGCATAACTTCTGCAATCTAGTAGGTCAAGAATAAAAGTGGAAGGACACTTGCAAGGCTTATGATGCCCAGACCCACAAACCATATGCCCCTTCAGCCACCTGCTCCCTGACCACAGCTCCAGGGCCAACCTTCCACACTAAAACCAGATGAAAGCTACCAATTAATTATTTTAATCGTTCATTCCCTCAACTTTTTCTCTTCCTTTCTCATTCCTGTGTTCTAGAACAGCACTTCTGAATGCACACTGAGAAGAGCCTATGAAACAAGACTGACATATTCCATCTTCAGATTTGCCTCCTTTAAATATGAGGAATTATTTTGATGGTGTAATCCATCTCACAGCTGAAGCATGGAATTTATCTGCTTCCACTTTCACTTTTTATAGTCAGTTTATTAAAACTGGCCCATTTAGGTGTTTTGTTTACTCCCATTCAAATGGTCAGTTTGGTAGAGGGGGAAGGACAGGAGTTTGGGATCAGGCTGACCTAATTGTGAATGCAAGAAGGTTATTAAGCTTCTCTTGGCCTCAGTGCCCTTATCTGTACAATGGGAATAACAATGCTGAATAGCATATAAGGAATAACTAAGAGCCTTCATTCACTAAATAAATGATAATGCACATGAGGGACATTGCAAGTCCCTGTCCCTTGGTAGACATGCAGGAGTATAGTAAGGAACAGAAATCAAACCCACTGGAAAAGAGGATTACCCCTCACATCTAATCTCCCCCATGCTGTCCCCATGGAATTGACAGTCTCCCTTCCCTAGCCTTTAAATTCACCATGTCCTGATGAGCAAGCTGTATTCCTTCCACAGCCACAAATCCTACAGAAAATGGCAACAACGTACCTGAGAGGTGATTAGGGGAAAGACAACACAACAGGGCCATCAGCTACTAATCAGGGGCCATCACACATTATTTTACTTGGTGGCAAAAGAACTTCAGCAACCACATATACGGCTAATAGCAAATGTTTATCATCTGTGTTTGCTGTCTTCCAAGCCCTGTGTTAAACATTCTGCACACCTCTACTCACCAAATCCTTAAAGCAACCCCTCCACTATGAATACTATTTTTCCTGTTTTTCAACAACAAACTGAGATGCAGGAGTTGAACATGTGCCCAGTGACATGCAGCTGGGAAATACACATGTGCCCTGCACCCAGATCTGTGCAGAGTTCTGGTAAAATGAATAAACTGGAATTAAACATAATTCACATGGCATGATACAGGTGAGCCAATTTAAAACAGCACAGATTACTACTGGTGTGTGTGTGTGTGTGTGTGTGTGTGTGTGTGTGTGTGTGTACAAAGAAAAAGCAAAAAAGCAATTTGTGAGCAGTATGGTTATAAATAGTCCTTTCTTTTAAAAAGAGACCTAATTCAAATAAGGAAAAATTTTATTTTTATCTTAAGTCCATAAAAGGTACACAAAAGCCTGTTTATCTTTGAAAAATCTTTTTAAAACTAAAATTTTAAAAAGCCAACCTAAGAAAATATCTAAATAAGAAATAAATTGCAAAGTCTCAGTCACTGATTTGCCTGATTGGAAAGGCTTTAGGTCCCAAAACAGCTTCACAATACTCTGAAAATAAGATAAAGCACAGGTGTGTCAAAAATCCTTTTTGTTAACAGCAGAATGCTTCTACTTTATAAGAGAATTGCTGGAGGCTCTGTTTCTCAGCCCTAGGCCCACATGAGAATTATCTGTACAGCTTATAAAAAACAGTGACATTCAGGTCCTATAGGAACCATCAGGCAATCCAAATGTGGGTATGTGCTCACATATGTACACACATGTGTGGGTGGCAAAATCAGTACTGTTTCTTAAACATTGTAGAGGATGTATCCACAACTGCCTCAAAACAGAAATACATGTTCCTAAACTTCCAACAAGAGGAAAGAGAAGCCAATTAGCTTCTCAATCAGCAGCTTCTGTAGTGAGAACAACACAATGAGAACTATACAGAATAACTTTCCTGTGTTTATTATAGTTATTTTCATTTTCGACAACAGCTGAGAAGTTAATCCTTTTTCAGTTCTCATAGAAAAAAAAAATCACAAGTAAATGATTCAACCAAAGTTTTGTTTAGTCTTTTATTGAGCATTTACTACATGCCAGGTGCAATACTGGATATGGGGATCCCAAAAATGTGCCTCAGTCTCTGCCCACAGGAGCTTGTGTTTGAGAGGGAAGGGTCTATATAGTGCATGGACTGCCGGAACAGAAGTGCTAGGCTTCGAAACAGGTGCAGCTCAGACAAGACTAATTCTGAAGCTGCACAGAGAGATCTCAGGAGGCAGGAGAGCTTTTATTTAATTCTAAAATGACCAGCCAGTGGGAATCAGGTGAAAGGGACATGAGGAAAGAGGCACAAGACAAGAGAGACAGCATGTGAAACTGCACAGGCCAGACACATCGTATTTTAGGAGAATCTGAGGCAGAATTGGTAGAGCAGAATTTGAGCTGCACAGCTTACCCAAGGGCAAATTACTCATCTGTGTATTCACTTAATTAAAACTTTGAACAACTCACAGGATATGCTCCTGTCACACTCGAGGACAAAAAAAAGTTATTATGAACCAGCAAAAACATCCAAATATGAAATTTCTGTTGCACAGAGATGCATGGGCACTTGCTCCTTCCTCAGCCCCAGTTATCACCCTGGGATCCCCTGCTCCAAAGGGCTCCCTACTGGGGTGATACAACCAAAGTTAGGCTCTGAGCCTAAAGGCTGCAGAGCAGGAAGCAGCAGCAACTGCAGTGAATCCAACCCAGAGGCTGTTCTGACCTTCAAAGCAAGAAGAACCAAGGAGAAACTAACAACAAGACTATTTCATCACATAGTCATGTATAGTGTTCTCAACTATGCTGCTTAATTTATTTTGTTTTTAATTTTTTGGTTAACATTTGAAGATGACAGCATTCTACCAATCTTGTGGATTAGGTGTTCACAGTGATTCGGGTTATCTGTCATCTCCATGACCCCATTCCATTTTCTTCAACCAACCCAGAGTGGATCCTTGCTTAGTAGACAGAAGTAGTCTTTAAAGAATCTTTAAACCACTTTAATATTCTAATTTCATTTTTGAGCATAGGATAATCACCTCAGATAGGATCCGACTTAATAGAATCTGTTGAAAGGCAAGAAACTGGTGTGGGCACCTGCAGCTGGGTACAGCTGATGAATGGGTACATTTCAACCTTTCAGGTGGAATAAAGTTATTTCAACACTTATAATTAGGGATTCAACTTAGTTCCCTCTTTAATAGAGGACCTGCTAACAGGTGACAGACAATTCCACCCTGGAAGATGGCATCCAGCGGTGTGTTCGACTGTGTTAATAAGGAACTCTCTTCTCCTACTTCAGATGTCTGTTCCTGTTGTTTTAACTGTCCACTCATCTGTACCTGGTGATTCTCCAAACACCATAATTCCCAAGGTGTTAAAAAAACAAAATGGTGATGCCCTGGCCCCACCCAAGGACAACTGAACACGAATTCTGGGGTAAGTCTAATAAATGGCAATTATAAAAATGACCTCCAGTTGGTACTAACGCACAGTCAGTTTAAAAGCAAAACAAAACATATTTTAGTCAATCAGACAATACAGACTCCAACATTTAAAGTCCCACCCAAGATGAGACTTCCTCCTAGGGTATCCTTAACTGACAATCATTGACTTTCACTGGGCCAATATAGGAAATGCCAGTAGCTTCCCCAAGAGTCGAATAAGTAGAGTGTCTGCTCTGCTGGGCTGGGGTCTGCTGGCTCACCTCAGGTCTCTGTTCTCTGGAGTGGCCCCAACAGCAGCTGCCCACCTTCCTGGCCAGAAGAAAGCCAACTTGAATGGCCACTGAAGACAAGGATAATTTGGATTCATGTTTGAGGCCCAGCACTCAATAAAATAGGATTTAGCAGAGCACATAGTAGGTGCTAGTAAACATATCAAGAAAAGGGGGGGTTTGGCAGGGTATGCATATAAAAGATAGAAGTTACAACCTTGCTCTAGGCTCTCGTCCATTTACAGATGCTTTCAGCCCAGGCCATTTATAATTATCACTGCTCCACACAAGTGAGTGGAACACATTCCCTTGACCTGAGCTTTCAGGGGTCGGGCCCTAGCTTCTCTCAGTAAAGCTACTGTTTCATTATTCCAGGTCTCTCACAGATATTCAAAGTTAAAGTGATTCACCCAAGGAATCAGCCGAAGAATGAAGCCCTAGTCACTGTGTGACGCCAATTCAGTGTGTCCCAGTGTGCCCTACTATCCCATAGCCACCAGTATGAAAGGTGGTATGACAGTGTCCACAACTATCATCTACAGAATCTTATCCAAATCATGGCTGTGTTGGCAACCACAGGTGGGCAATGCCCAGACAGAACACACGAGGTCCAGAACAGCACACTCTCCACCATTCCTTAAGGTCTTCCTCTTACTGAATCATTATTAAATATCAATAGGCGTTTATCACACACGTGCTGTTCTTCTCAAACTTGACCCACTTTATTCTGACTAGTGTAGACTCTTGGGTGTTCAACCCTAGTGCTAGCACTACTGGCTAAAATTCCCCGGGGAAAATCTCTGATGTTGGCCCCAAGTGGCACCTTACCTTTGAAACTGCTCATTACTGGAATCACAAGCACCAATTAGAACACCATCATTAGATGTGAATGTTTTTGGTGTGATTAGTGAAATGAGAGAGGCCATCTGTTTCCAGTTTCCATGGGATACCCATCCTGTCTGCCCTACTCTAGTTCTTTTAACTCTATGTGGTACACCCACTCAAATGAGAGTTCTATAGGAACTTCACAAGCACTGCCCACACCAGCACTCCCTGCCACAAAACCAAACCACGTCTGCTTCAAGGCTGCTCACCCCAGAAGGACCCCACATCCTTCATTAGCTCCCACTGTGGCCGTGGGGCTTTATGGAGCCAAGTCCCTCCCTGACCCACCTCCAGTACGATCTCAGTCATACTGAAGGCTCTTCACGCTTCTGACTTTGACCTCCACAGTCCACCTTGACACTTCACTATCAGTGGCACAAGACCTGTAACTGATGTGGCACCAAAGAGCCAAGGCCACCCCAGTCAGTCTCACCCACCAGGGAGAGGGAGAGGAGTGGTCCTACCTTCATGGTTTACTGGCAAAGGACGAAACTGTTTATCCAAGACAACCAGAGAGCATGTGGCATCGAACCCAAGTCCTCGAATTTGGTTTAAATCGATCCCTTGTACAACTTTCTGTTTTAAAAGCAAACAAAAACATAAATCACATCACTGGACTTTTAAAAGCTTTAATACAAATTATAACAAGAAGGAAATGAATGACTAAATAAGAAATCATCTACAATATAAACCAAATAGGAGTTCAATATCACTAAAATACCAAAAAATCCTATAATCAGAAAAAGGTAACCAACCTATTAGAAATTAAGCAACAAGCAAGAATATTGCTTAATAAAAAAGAAATAGAATATGTGCAAATATTTCCAACTGCCCTACAATTAGGTAAGCAAATAAAAATATAGAAATTTTTGTTTTTATATTGGTAAAAGTATGAAAGATTAACAGTATATGATAATGACAAGAAACAGGAAATTGGGTCTTCTTGAACATTATTCTAACTGTAATTATTGAGTATCAATTTGGGAAAATAATTTGACAGTATATATT